AATAATGATAAATAATAAATAAACCATGCTGCATATTAATATATAGACATGATGCCATTACTATTACACATGTCTTTATTTTCTGGTATTTACTATTATGGTATTTGCGGTATTTACGGTTTTACGGTTTTATGGTTTTACGGTTTTACGGTTTTACGGTTTACGTTATTTACGGCAATAATACGGCACATGCCGTAACCGTATTATTTCTGTTTGGGAATTCCGACGACAAGTATATTCACGGCTATTCAAAAACGGTATTACTTTTTCACTTCAAAGCTCAGATTATTTCTCAATATTGCTTTAAAAAACTTGATAGTAAATGAGAAGGTGTAGAATACTTTAAGCTTTCATATGGTCATTACTTTATGGGGTATTGGTTAATAAATTTTAGAGAGGCTCACGAAAAACTATTTTATAGAAATTTAATAGTCATGAGGAATTTTATGTAGATGGGATTCAACAAAAACTAAAAGGTATTTTATTAGTGATTGTTTTATAGTTTCATTAATGATTATTATGAATATCATCAATTAGTGGTTATTATAGCAACATTAAACAATAATATTAGTAGCAATAAATAGCAAACGATGATAATGAATCATCGTTTTTTGAGGATGATAATAAAGATTAAGATCCAGTTTGTGTAGGAGTTCGAAGTAAATGTTAAGGACAAGATCTATACTAACAAACGTTTTTTAATAGTTTGTGTAGGAGTGATCGAAGTAAGCATTAAGGACAAGGTCTATGAAGCTTGCGAAGCAAGTTTTACGTTTTATCAATTATTCAATAGTTATATTTATTATTTATTTAACTTATATTTAATAACATCACTATGACAAATAATTAAATGAATAAAGTCAGAGATAAAACACCTTTTAATTTAATAATTATTATTTATGTATATACCGTAGGTAAAGAAAAACTTTAGTGTCTATCTATTTATTATATTACTTTTAAAAATAAATGATTTTACTATATAAGTGATCAAAAATCTATAAATATTCATAATAATGTAATATTTGGACATTTATTTCTACTTATACTTGCGATCGGACGCGTCAAACAAAATTTTACATATATGAATATAAAGGCAAAATTTGACTTTGAGGGTCAGATTATTTTCGGTTTTATTAACAACCTGTTTTAAAAATTTTCTTAAAGCAGATACATATGATAAAGAAGTTATACCTCAAATTTGGCGGTGGTTGCCACACAGCAAGGGTATTAAATGGGGATTAGAAGTCACTTGGTTGTAAAATTTTACTATTACTATTATTATGTAAATTCGAACTTTACTGTTTTACAGCTCCCTATTGACGTCCTGTGACTGTTATTTTTCTTGTTTATAATAATAACCATGGATGGAAATACAAAAATCGAAACTTTCTTGGATTCTTTTATAAGTAACGGCAATGCTACTCAAGAAGAAGCAGATAAAGTATATACTTAAAATATTTAATCAACATTGGATTCACAGATTAAAGGATTGTAAGGTGTTTGACATAAAATCTTTAGAAGAAAAAGGCATTCCTGCATTGGTGATCATGAAAATAGAAGAAATGTGACTTTTAAAAAGTATTCACATATCTTATACATTATTATTAATCATGTATGCATTCATTTATTTTCTCTTTTTATTTATATATACATATAAAAGAATCTGGTAAGTGAAACATCATATGAGAGAATGTTTGATACTCAATATAAGGAAAGTCGTTTTGATAAGAAGTTAACATATATCATTTATTTCTTTTAATTTATTGTATTGTTTGCATGATGAAGTAGTTGGAGTAGTTGGAGGTAATGTAACATTTATTCTCTGTTTTTTGATCACTATAAGATTTCTTCTGTCATTGTTCCATTTTTAATCCTTTTTGTGATTTTGACAACATTTGCTTTTTAATTTATTTTCTGCTTTATCAATGACTTATTGGTTTTTTTTTAAAAAAAAAATAATTATTGCCTCCTATCTATTTTACTTAATAAGGTAAGTTTCAAATTTTCTATTCTCTAAACTTAGTTATTTACTTGTTCTTGTTATATTATTCCTGCATTAGGCTCAGTGTCTCTCTCTGATTCAGGCCACATACAGAGGTTAAGGGAACAGTTTGGTTATATCCCAAGATTAGGTAAATGCTTTTTCATATCATTGCTCCAAAAGATGTGTAAATCATTCCATCTAAACTATCTCTCATAGGAGAAATTGGTGGCATAACTTATCAAGAGGAAGCATTTACAAACTTTGAAGGTGTTGATGTGAATAGTAACTTGACTTGCAAGAGGCTGGCAACTGTACAAAGTTACACAGTCACCTTCAGAATGCAAGATTTTTGCTTGTGCACTCACCCCCAATGTCTGGAAAGACATCACTTGCACAACTCTATGAGAACTATTTACTCAATACACATAATGAACTACATATATTTTGGATGTCACTTGTATGGTTGAGGAAGGAGGGATCAGACTGGGATTTTGCACAGCAATTAAAGGATTATATGGGAGGCTTGTCATGGGATACCTTTGTCCACGAGTGTGACAAAGTATAAACAATACTGATCATAGATGAAATTCAGGTGTAGATGAAATTCAGGTGTTATACAAACCAGAAGGTGCATCAGCCTGTCTATTTGGTGGTGACAAGTTTTGGGACACTGTCAAGAGAGTTCTACAGGGTGGTGGTCTCCACATTGTTGCTTTTGCATCCTATGGATATTGGGGAGCATATAGTGGACCAGGCTATCTTAAAACTATATCCCCTTTTGACTTAGATGAAATTAATACTTGGAATTTTGAAGATGTTCAGTATCCTGAACAAGAGTATGCAGATTTCTTTGATGTTTTTTGTCACTCCAATCTGAAACTGCTTCCCAAAAGGGATGTCCCTTGACTTGCCAACTATGTGAAAGAAGCAACCAAGTGCCATCCTGGGCTGTCTCCTTTGTCTTGAATGATATTGTTTTACAATTTCAACAGCAGCTAAAGCAGGGTGTGGAGCCATTGACATTTGAGAAATATTCAAATTTTTTCAAACAGATGATTTCTATCAAGGTGTTAAGGTGAGTAATGATTGGAAATTAATAGTTTGTGATTTTAGAGATCTTAACTCCATTATTATTGTAGCAAACATATGCATGTCAAGAAGTCATAGTGACATCTGAAGAAGAACAACAACTTATTGACAAAGTCTTGTTCCAACCTGGTGGTATTGACACTTGCAGTGCAGTTGCAGACCGTCTGATCAAAACAAATGTCCTTTCAGACTTCCATCAAGAATATTATTTGAGAAAGAGGAAACTTGACTTCACATCACCACTAGTCCATGTAGCTTATCTTCAGGAACATCTTGGATCTAGAACCCATGTGCACACTTTACCAAATCCTTTTGAAGGTTTTATCAAGAAGGTGTTTGAATTAATGAGCCCAGAGACTTTCAAGAAACCCTTTGTGTGGGTAATGATGGTCAACTGCTGGAGAGAGCATGGCAAATGGAGTTTTACCATGCAGCAATACAACTGCTTCCAAAAGATGTACATATCTCTCCAGATGTTGGTGCTGTTTTTGCTTCAGATGGCTGGATGATGAAGGATGATGGGCTACATGGTTCAATTCTGAAATGTGCTAAGCATCATGCCATTGTGGAGGTTAGAAGTGGTATAGGTAGACCCCACAACCTGAAATCAGGTGTCATTTATGTTGTATGTTCACAGGACTTTTCCAGTGTGGAAATATGTATTAATAGTAT